AAATATAGTATTTTATAAGCACTTTTCAACATTTAGGCTTCCCAGGCTCAATATTGAAATCAGCTTGGCAATCAAAATATTAAAATATTCTTTTACCATATAACACATTGAATTTCTTTAGATATAATGTATATAATCGAACTATATACATATATATAGATTGAAGTAGATTCCAATTGATTTGCGCTTTTGCAATGCGATTTTGTCGATGTGTTTCGAATTTATATTTAAATAAAAAAATTTTAACCTTCCTGTCTCACTAAGAGACTCCTGTCTCATTACTTCTTGTATTACTAAATAGTTGGATTTAACAGAAACAGATGTGTGCACTTCGCACACACGGCACGTGTATACAATTGTCATACTGATGAAACAGTCGGGGCTAATCGGGAATAATCGGGACGTTCGATTCAGATTTGACGCTCACGCCTTTCGAAGCTTGAGTGCTAACAAGTGCCAATTTCTTGTCTCATAAATCTTTTCCAAAACAATTGTATATAATTCCGGAGACGATGAATATGAATTAAAACGTTCATCTGATGAATTTAGTCCCGGGCAAAGGGCGTTTGCGAAAGAGCTGGAAAGAGCTGACGAAGTTACATCCATGTACAAACGTGCCGCATCATAAGCAATGACGTGGATATAGGTTAAGTTCTCATTCACGCTCAAACAAATCAAATCGCCAAGTGTATCGAGCAATTTTTGACAAAGACAATTGTAAATAATGTTCGAAATCACAGATACGCAAAGTGAGTACAAGGATTCCTCTTGACAATATTGAAAGAAATTCTTTATATTAAACCGGCGAATATCCGAGATATTGATTACATTTTGTTGATTGTACTATAAGGGATGTGTTCCAGAAATCGGAGTGGGATTGGCGGGATTTGGGATTTCCTTTCTGTTCCTCGGCGTATTATTACTCTTCGATAAAGGTTTACTCGCTATTGGAAATGTAAGACTGCATGTTCTTTATTATTTATTTACATTAAATCTTATACCAGATTATTTCTTTATGTTAAGTCTTACACTGGATTGACCTTTTGGATTCCTTGTAGCTTCTGTTTATATCAGGACTAGCATGTGTCATTGGACCATGGAGGACGTTAAACTTCTTCTTTCAGAGACACAAGATAAAAGCCAGTGCTTCATTTCTAGGAGGTGTTTTTGTAGTACTTATGGGTTGGCCCCTTGTAGGAATGATTTTAGAAACCTATGGCTTTGTATTACTCTTCAGGTAAGTGTTGTATATTTCTAAATCTTTAATACTAAATCTTTAAATACTTCTACAGCACAGTGGAACTCGAGTATATATAATATAACACGCTAATACCTGTTTTCAATGTAGTAATTTTAATCTCGGTACAATCTTTTTCTAGTTCTAAGAATTAGAAAAAGATAAAGAGTAAGTTGAATCGAGATTAAAGTTAATCTATATAGAAACAGACATAAAGGAAATATTAGTTCTTTTTAGTTGAACTTTTCACATAGTTAACTTTTATTTTTTTCTTCAACATGAAGGAAAGATTAATGATTATGCAAAATAAACTTCAGCTGAAAAAAACAGACTTGTTCAAGTGAGAAAATATAGCGAGTGCACTGGCTGTGTTTAGCAAATCACAGTTTTACATCCGTTTTGTGATTATCAATAAAAATATAATCCAATCAGCGCAAAGAAAACTTCCAACAGTTGACCTTGATAAAAATTGATTATAAAATCTCGAATAACTGATGTCCTAATAGTTAATGACTAATAGTTAATAAAACCATGTTTTGTAACAGATAATTCATCACATATATTTGTTTCAGTGGTTTTCTACCAGTAGCAATAAACTTTTTACGAAGAGTACCTATATTGGGAACTCTACTAAACATGCCTGGCATCAGTCGAGTTTTGGACATAATAGCAGGTGATTCTAATCGGACAACTGTATGATACAACTATATAATATATTAAAACCATCCATATCTTTTTGCTTGGAATCTGTACATAAACCAGTCAAATGTTCATGTTTCATATTTTTTTTGTTCTTCCGTTTGAAGAATGTCAGCTATCAAGTTTTGTACAAAAATGTAAGAATTTACTTATTTCTTATATAAGTCATTGTCATTACTATATATAATGAATTTGTATCTTTCAAATTTATATACATATAACTTATATGTATTGATTATGTCAAGGGTACACTTGGTTATGTAAAACATTCCAAAGGCTTTTTTATAAAAAAAAAAAGATAATATTATTCATTTTCATCTTAAAATATTCATCACTGTCAATAAACAAATAATGGCCAACAAATGTACCCTTCTCCTGATCAAGTAATGAATGTTTCGGGATAATGTAATAAATGGACGTGTTTAATGTGTTATTTATCATTAATATATCTTATACTTATTGAAATCAAGATAAAGAATATACCGTATTTACACAAGACTCTTTTTCAACAAGAAATATTTCAGTAACCTTAAATATTAATTTAAAAATGTGTCAGATTAGTAATATTGAATGCTAAGTACTTAAATCTTATTAACGGAATGATATTAAATTTGAAAAAAATATACAATATGTATAATTTTAAATTGTTAAATTTTTGTCAATTTTTATTAGTTTTATAATTAAATTTTTGAAATAATTTAATGAAATTTATTACATTAAAATCAGCTTCGAAAAAATGTTTTTTTTATTTAAATAAATTCTTTTTACTATTTCAGGGAAGAAAAATAATTATTGAATGTATGAAATTTTATATCGTTTTTATTGATTTGCTGCTTTCCCTGCATGCATCCTAACATGAACAGATTAGATGCATACATTCTGAGTAACGCTTTTCTTCTTACATGGTCGTCTGGAGTGCGAAATTAAATTATCGTCCGTCAAAAATGAACGGACTGATTACCATTAAAATGAGTTTTTATTAATTTAATTACGAATTAATTATGAATTATCTACAACGGGCCGAGAATAAGGGCGGGGGGCGGCCCAGGCTACGCGCCCCGCCATCGCCGTGATGACATTTCGTCGCGCGTTCTCCTCTCTCGATGGTTTCGCGTGCGCTGACTCGATACTCTAGGCAACTTATTACTTTCAAGTACTTTGATATTCCGACCGGTCTATTTATTCAGCGTAGCGTGTATGGAACGTTATCCAAGTAACAGGTGTTCGCGATATTTTCGCGATTGTGCTTGTCTCTTCAACGTTTTTACAATGGAATACGAAAATACGTAAATGTCAATCGCTGCGGGAAAAATACTGAATCCGGCAATAAGTTAAGCAGATTCTCTTCTATTCCTTTGTTTATTTTTGCCGAGTTTCATGCACTTTATGAGCTGCTACGTCGACCGTCCTCAGCCTGAATTACTTATTAATATCGCCGACAACGTTTCTTCTGTCTGTCGGTCTGCGGGAATCGCTATCAAATCGGATGATGTGGATAATTAATGACGATGTCAATGATCATGAGAGTAATGAGACGAGGATCGTATTAACGCTTTAAAGAAGGTTTTTAATTTCATCGTACAATACGAGTACGAGCGCACCACCTGTGCCACGGAGAACATTAGAGAACGCGCCCTTGAAGAAGGCATTACCACCTTCCGTCTTGTAAATGGTGGCCCAGCAATGGAGAGTGTTTTTGTACAAAATGTCAGTCTTGGCACGGCCGGACTGCATCATCATACGCCTACGTACTGTATCGAAGGGATAAGACACAATACCTGCGACAGTGGTTACGGCCTGCGACAGATTCAGAATGAATAAATAAAATGCATGTTCAATGAGATTGCATCAATTTAGTAGAAATATAGTAAAATCATCTCACCTGGGCAATACCCCATGAAACGAGGAATGGAGTCTTTTTGGGATCTGGCAGCATACCACG